CCAAGGGGGCGGGGGGGGAAAAAAGGAGGAAAACACTGCACAAAACCTCCTGCTGGGTGCGTCTTTCCCTGTGGAGGGACTGTTGGCTTTGGTAGAGGTGAGATTCCTGGAGTAAGCAAAGAGAGTTCAGGAAAATGTAGTGTTTTGAGGGTTATTTTACCAAGTATTGAGTGTTCACGCACTTTTGTTTTCCTGTTTGAGCGCAATGCTCAAGTTTATGTATTCATCAACAAGGGGATTTCTCCACAGTTTGGCTGAAGAGCAGGACAAAGGGAGGGGAGACTGAGTGGAGCCATGAGCGAGTGGGAGAGCCATCTGCAAGGAGATGGGGCCTTTACAAAGGAGGGAAATAGGGCAATTCCCCCACATTCTTCAGCAAGGGGGACGAAGGAATTGCTGAGCTCAGGTGAGAACAGATGGCAGGAGGCCGGAGTTCGATGTAGGTGGGCCAGGAAGGCTGTAACTTCTGAGTACCTTGGCCAATGGGGAAAAGGAGAGGGCGTCTCTCGGTCGGGAAATTAGGATAAAAGCGAGGGCTGTGTCCCCCAGCAATTTGAGAGACCCCACAGGGATATGCCCGGTGGACTCTCCCTTTATTCGAATAAAGTTTTAGGACTCCTCTGTCTCCTTTTTAGACATTCAGTTCTTGACAGCGAGATTTTCCACACATGCTCAAGGTTCAGAATTCCTGAGTGTTCTTTGGTTTTTCTGCATGTGTTGCTGTTAGCATGTGATTGATTTTGAAATTGGCTACTTCTTAGAATTAGTGAAATTGAAGATGTTTGACAGAGCTGTAAGTAGTCATTTTATTCCTCCCAAAATAAAAATTAACAGTGGTACTTAAGCATAACAGGAAACTTTGAGCAGACACCATACTAGAAAAATCTTTTAAATTCACTTTAAAAAACATTTAAATAGAAGAGGTTAAATTATTCAAACAAAAGTCTTACTGTGTTTAAGTACTGGAATACATGGATAGCACTCTCATCTGTACAGCTCATATTTTAAAAATCTTAGCAAGTACTCAGATACGTAGCCATGTGTTTCTGAGATACCTGCAATATACATTTGTGCTGTGTCTTTGTTATATAAGGGAGTAACATGATAATATTTATTCTGTGAGGAGGAAAAAAAAAAAAGCTAATGCATATTGTCTCACTAATGTGATCAAATCTCTTTCACCTGCTCCATTCTGTTCAGCATACTTTCGTCTAGGAAGTATTTGCTTTCAGGAGGAGCAGTCTGAAAAGTTGTGTGCCTTTCTGAGAACTTTGCTGCTGCAGAAAAAGTTGCCATCTCTGTCATTTCGCAGTGAATATCTGAATGTCTCGTAGGGGCTTTGGTTGGCAGTAAAGCAAATGCTTGCTGCTGAGGAGGAGAGTTATTGAAGAGTGGTCTCTGAAGTAAAACTCGTAGCTCTCACCTTATTCACTGTTGGTTAAGGTTTACCCTTTACAGATGCTTCTTTCTTGGAGACATCAGGACAATACCCAGGTTGTGCTGAACCTTTTTTACCTCAGAGTTTATTTAAAACTGTATCACCAGAACATGAAGATGAGACTGTTCTTATTGCAGACACTTGGTGCTGCCAGCACTTAGCAATAATTAGTCATGTAGCTGCATACACTATGTCTGTGGATGAAAAACGCAGTGGGGCCATCTCTGTGGGAAGTGTGCAAAGCAATTTACAAGTTCCTGAAGCAGCATGTTGAATTAGCAGTGAGGTAGAAGCTACATGACACCCACTGTGCTATGTGGAGTTACCTATTTTGTGCTTAATCAAGAAAGCAGAGCAGACTTCTTCATCAGCCAGAAAGTCTTCTGGTTTTGTTGCATTAAAGAGGCTTTATTAAGATCAAGGTAAAGGGCAGGATATCTGTTTTTCTGATAAATTTATAGCTGAAAGCTGTGTGCTGTAGTTAGAAGATGTGCTACTCTCATCCATACATGCCAAAATTAAAGTGCTTTCAAACTGTTCATCCTCCTTTCCTTCCACAAATTTGCCATGGTAACTTCATGTTCGGTATTCCCTTTTTTTCTCTCTCTCTCTTTTTTTTTTTTTTCCTTCCCTGAAAGTGATACAGTTTAGCTTAACACTTTTCATGGTAGACTTAAGGAACAATTATGCATGTAGACATAGAAGCGAGTCTGTAATCACTGGTGAGTGATCTTAGTTCTTGTCAGGTACCATCATCATTTTCTATTCCCCCTGAGCTTTTGTAGTACATAAACTTGCAGAATTCCTATGTTTTCCTTGTGTTACTCTGATCCTGCTCCTTGTAGGACACTCTTTATATGTTGCTTCCTAGGCACTTCACACAGCTTCAGGAGAAATCAAACAAATTCCATCAATGCCAAGAACCTGTGTGGTAAATGCAACTAGTTACTTCAACTCAGAAGTTTCTTCAGGGAGATAAAAGCTCAAGTTTTGTTTTGTTTTTTTTCTCCCTGCTAAGACTACCAACAGCTCAGTGTAAGCCACTGACTTAGATAGTTGCACAAGATGGTTTGAGTGGAAAGAGTTCTGAATCTCTTGAGTAAGTTATTGTAGATAAGTTGTTTATAACAACATAACTTGGAAAGAAGTGCTGTTCCTTAAATAGCATGAGAAGTCTTGTGTCTTGTGGAATGCTATTACAAGATGCAGAACAACATGTCTAATAAAGTGCAAGTCTATCTTGTTTGAAGTTTTTCCTGCTTTTCTTGTGTATGTCTCCAGTAAAAATATTCATAAAATTAAAATATTTGAATTTTTTTTTACTCAAGGCAGGAGCATGATTTACTGTTTCCCCAGGAAATGAGGACAAAAATCAGGCTGAAACCTGATTGTTTTCTGATAGGTTCCCCCGAGTTATGTGCTAATAAACACTTTACATCACCTGAAAGAAGAGCTAACAGCCGACAAACATATCTTTGATTTGCTTATTTCCTTCCTCTTAAACCTGTGCATGAGTTAACATGTTTATCTATATCTCAAAATATTTGATGCAGCAATATAGAGCTAGTGAAAAGTTTAATCCATAGTTGCATATCTAGCTTTTTTCTGTGGAAGCGTCCAAATATTTGTTTGTGCACAAGAAAATATTTCAAAAGATGCAAGCTTTGCAATACTTACTGATTCCTCTTGTTTCTAACTGTAATTGCAGGAAACAAACATTCAGTTTGATTTCTCTTCTTAAATATTTTAGCTGAAGCTCAGAAATGTTTTCACTGATGTTTATTACTGATTAAAGAAAAATATATAAGAACTTGAAGAGATCAAGAAGACTTTCCAGCATTTCTGCTGCATGAGATTTTTCAGCTTTTTGTTACCACAACATATATATATTTATTAAAGAGGTTGCATTTCTCTACTATAGCGTGATGGCATGCTACAGTGTCCTCTCATAGATATTATCATGAGGACACAAATATTTCAGAATATTTTTCGTCTTTGTAGTCGGTGAGGTTTCCAAATCAAAAATGATATATTGCAGCTAGAGTTTATATGACCCTAGAAAATTCTTACCCTGCATTATCAAAGGCTCAGTTGCAAGGAGGTAGCCTGGTCATACAGTATTGGCATTCCTAATAACAAAAACTGTAATCTTTGCACTGAATTTGCAGAGGCTCAGAACTGAGGTTTTTCAGGCTTGGTCTTTCTGATCTTTTTTCACCTGCCAGCTTCTTTGTTTTTCTGGGTTTAGTTGTGACTGCGCTTTCACTAATTGACCAGGTGTCTGTGGCTAATTTATTTTCCTTTTGTCACCTATGTGTGTGGTAGAACTGTTAAAAAGACAGAAACAAGCAGTCATCCTATGTAGGGTCAAGTATTTATGACTCTAACACGATACAGTATAGTGAAACACAGGCCTGTTTTGATAGCAGAGGCTTTGGGAAGTGGTGACCCAGGATGCAGGGTAGAGAAGTACAGGGTGGGATGATTAGAGATGAGGAGCAAGCTGGCACTGGAGGCTAAAAACAGTTCAAAGAAATTGTGGTCAAAGAAATGCAGATCTGAAGGTGGGCACAGCTGTTTTCAGAAAGAAATAAAGAGAACAGAACAATACTATTTCACATATGTAAAAGGCACTGTGGGTAGTAAATACAGACGTAACATGGAAAGACCACTAGAGAAAGGTGTAAAAGCACCTTATCAAACTTGGGAAAAAAAAAAAAAGGAAAGACAAACAAACAAACAAACAACAACAACAAAAAAAAAAGTGGATCCTGGAGTGAGGAAGAAGAAACCATCAAAATGAATATCATTCTTCCCAGTGAGGATTCCAGAGGCTGTACTCACCACTGACAGAGTAAAAGCACCACCCCTGAGACTGAGAGGAGCAGTAGAAGGGTAAGTATAATCCAGGAGAAAGGGTGGAAACTAGGAAGCGTATGTAACAACTTCATTCTTTGTGTGTGTGTGTATAACAGATCTGGACTAATAATGATTAAATTATTAAAATTTCAGTTATACTAATGGGAAGCTCTAAGACTGGTGCATAATGGTGTTTACAGCTTAAATGCTTTTTCTGATACATTATCAGTATATATTGGAAAAGGACTGGAGAAAATGATAGTGGGAAATGAAAAAAAAAAAATCATTGGTCTGAATTTCAGGATGACTGGTCTCTGTTGTCTCATTTCCTCCCAGAGTTTGAAGTTCAGGTTATATAGCAG